AGCTTTTGAGGAACAGGTTTCATTTTATTATAAGACTTTTTTAAGATTTATTTTTATTTTTAATTATGCATGTGTATTTACTGTGAAGGCCAGAGGATGGTATGGCTCCCAGGTGCTGTAGTTAAAGGTGGTTATGAGTCACCTGATGTGAGTGCTAGGAACCAAAAGGTCCTCTGGAAAAGCAGCACATGCTCTAGAGCACTGAGCCATCTCTCCAGCCCATATATATACATAATATAGTATGAGAGTATGAGTGTGTGTGTGTGTATAGTTAAGTATGAGAGTAATATGAGTTCGTGAGTGAGTGTGTGTGTGTGCGCGTGCGTGTGTGTGTGTGTGTGTGTGTGTGTGTGTGTGTGTGTGTGTGTGTCAGGTTCAAATTCAGGTTACCAGGCTCGGTGGCCAGCACCCTTATAAATGGGCCATTGGTCCTGCTTGGTTTTTTGAAACAGATTTATGTAGCCAAGCCTGACCTTGAACCCATGATCATCAACCTCCCAACACTGGGGTTATAGGAGTGCACTACCAGACTTGGTCCCTGCAAGTTTAAACTTAAAAACCACATGAGGTCAGTTGCTGTAACAGTGGGTCTTGCCAAGCTACAGGAGGCACCATTTCAGAATCTGCATACTCACCTCCATGCAGTCACAGCCAGCTTCACAAGCTACACAGACCACAGTCGCTCTCCACCCACAGGTGGCTCTAATTCTTGCCTGTCCCCACCATTCACACTCAGCCCCTGAGGGCAGCTACAGGCCTGATGGGAAGGCTCAGTGAAGCCTCACATTGCTAGAGAATAAAGGGCAATGGCTGTCTGGTGGTACCACGTCCTGGGGCCTCCTACCTGAGTCCGAGGCTTGCGCAACCCAGAGCTGACGTCATGCAGTTTCAGGCTATCCCCAGCAGGGCCCAAATGCTGCCCACTCACCACCTTCCCTGCCACAGCCCCAGCATAAAGCAGTCCTGAACCCACCATGTTCAGAGGAGACCCAGGATCTAACTACGTCTGAAGCTGATCTGGGCACACAGCTGTGACACAGAACCTGAGGCCAGCAGGATCTCCACCTGCAAGGTCCCCCTCACCGCCTCCACTTCCCACATTCTGGAGACAGTCCAACAGGCTGGGGCACAGGACCAGTGACTGGGGCTGTGGTCGCAGGAACATTCTGGAGACAGTCCAACAGGCTGGGGCACAGGACCAGTGACTGGGGCTGTGGTCGCAGGACTTCAGTTTGCCTTTACCCACTGTTTACTAAGAGGCCACCAGAGGGAGCCTGCTCACACTGACCATGGTCCTATTCCCCTGCGCAAACCCTCCTCTATCACTTTTTGTTTCGGGGGTGGGGGAGTGTGCACAGCACCAGCCTAAGTACCTCTGCCTCCTAGCCCCTGACCAGGAGATCTGCCCCATCAATAGGGGTATACTCATATTCCATTCTGCAGCTCAATTATTTAAAAATGTACATAGCAGGGCCAGGCACGGTGGTACATGCATTTAATGACAGCACTCAGGAGGCAGAGACAGAGGCAGGCAGGCAGGCAGGCAGAGCTCTATGAGCTCAAGGCCAGCCAGGGCTACACAGAGAGACTCCATATCAAAGGAAGGGAGAAAGGAGAGTAAATTTTACATAGCAAAAAATTTTGAACAAAAACCAAAAACTCTACCTTTAGAAGCCACATGTGCCCCAATGACAGAACACAGCGGCAGGTGAGGAGGCCTGGGACTGAGCCTGTACTTGTGACCCCTGTGACCTTGAACATTCCCAGGTCCTCCCTGAGCCTGGCTTTTTGTCTGCACAAACGGAGCAGGACACAGTGCACCTGGGCTCTGAAGGGTTGATGTTGTTGTTGTTCAAGGCAAGGAGGACAGCCGGAGGCTGGAGTGTGGAGGCAACTCAGCAGTCTGTGGGGTCCCAACCTCGTACATCTCAAGAAAGTTCAACCCCTCACCAGCTGGTGTGGGAAGGAACCCTAACCTAGGGATATCCTTCATGGTGAGCATCCGGTTGACCTGCAGCCTTAACTACTTCAAGTGACCTTGGCTGTCATGTAACCTATGGCTGTGCCTAAACTACTCAGCTCTGTATCATCTACGAAAGAGCTAGGGGAAAAAGGTCAGCCTCTATGCCAAAACATGGCATTAACAGCTTAGACTGAGGTGGTGAGGAGAGAGCCCTCGTGGAGATCAAAATCCTGTAAGAGACCACAGAGCTCTTACTCAGCCCTCCCACATGTGAGGACAAGGCTGCGAGAACCTGCTTTGAAAGAGAGAGAGAGAGAGAGAGAGAGAGAGAGAGAGAGAGAGAGAGAGAGAGAGAGAGAGAGAAGACAGACAGACAGACCTAAGCTCCTTCTCCCTGCAGATCCCACAACCAGACATCATATTTTACATTTGTTTTACTTCCTGGCTCCCCATCTGAAATGCCAGCTCCACGAGGGTATGGCTACATCTGTCCTGGTCTGTCCTCAGAACTTAAAGGAGAGCCAGGCTCCAAGCATGTGTCAGTCACTATGTATAAACAAAGAGCAAACATGCATGACAAGACTGGACGGCCATCCTCACCTGCAGCCTGGCCAGGAGCCGATGGTAGTGAAACAGGGTACAGAAGTCCACGTGAGCTAAGAACGCCTCCAAAGCTGTTCTCTCTGCTGGGCTGGAGTGGAACTCCTGGCACCCAGAAAGAAAACCTAGTTAAGCCTTTTCCTCTTCCTTCAGAGAAACCCTTTCATGGCAACCCACATACAGAACGGGAATTCTGGGCTTTTAAATTTTTTATTTAAAAACTGATTTGGGCAATTGTACAGATCCAGCATAGCACAGGGAAAAAGCAGAGGCTTCAAGAGCCAGAGGCTGGGCACCTGCTGTGCCTCTGACTTCGCACATTCACAGTACGTGTGCCATGTGGCAGTTGCTCTTTCTCAGCAGAACATCATCCCCCAGAGAAGGGACAGCGTTGATGGAGTTAGAACTCCAGTTTTTCAAAGGGGGAAACTGAGGCTCAGTGAAGCCATTGGCTGAGGGTCATGATAGGTCCATCTGGCTCCAGAGCACCATATGAAGATGTCCATTATCCAGACAAATGTCCAAACCTACCTGAGCTACAGTTTCCTCATGAGCAGATGGCTATGGAGAATTTATTTATTTATTGTGTATGTGTGTGTTTTGAAAAAAAAAAATATATATATATATATATACCACATGTGTGCCTACTGCCAGGTGTGGTCAGAAGAGGGAACTGGATCTATGGACAGTTGTAAACTACCACATGGGTGCTAGAAACAGAACTTGGGCCTTCTACAAGAGTAACAAATTCTCTTAACTGCTAAGCCATATTCCCAGCCCAAGTAGGGGAAATTTTAATGAGATCATATATGCACATGTGCATATAAAGTCTAGCTATTTATTGAACACCTGCTGGCATACACAGCAGGTGTTCAATAAATAACTGTTACATTAATGAATGACCATCTTCAACAATGGAAGGTCTGACGGTGATGGTGGGCTGAGAGCTCAAACTCTGGAACAGATCAAGGATGAGGTAAAGCATTCACTCAGAGTCAAGCAAGCATGAGTCACTACCTGTAGCCTCGGATGGGGCACTCGCTTTTGCCTCACCTGTAAAATGGGATGGCGGTGGTCTCTTTCTTACTGGGTTGTTCTGATGGTTCTATACATTACAACCATGTAGCACAGTGCCGCAGGGTAAGAACTCAAAGTGTGATAATTACGATTACGGCTTTGTGGGTACAGTTTTATTACGTAGTAGAAAGTAATGGTGAGGGTGATAGTTCTATCTATTTCAAGGGGGAAAGCTCATGTCCCAGAGTGCCTGTTCAAGGCCCCGGAAGAAGCTCGGGTCCGGAGTTCCTTAGGCATCTCATCTTGGAGTGCTTGCCCCTGCGTTCCAACTCTTTTGGCAACCACTAGGAATGCTAAGGGACCAAGAACTACAACTCTCAGGAGGCGCCAGAGCAGTCCTCAATAGCAGGAATAGTGGTGCAGTCGCAAGGCCGGCTGGAAATTGTAGTCCCCAGGCTCTTAGACCACTGATGGGCAGTACCTGGATCAGGAGGCGGAGCAGCTGCTCCTTGGAGAAGGGAATGAAGCGCTCGCGGTACTGCTGGGCCCAGTCTCGGGGCTCCGTGGGGTTCCACATCTTTCGGTACACCCCCATCCTGTTCGCCAGGGACGACAGAGCCCGGGGAGTCCCGAGGACAGCAGGCACCAGGGACCATACTCGGACCTTGGACCCCCGCCAGGTCACAGGCAGCATGGCCAGCCCCCTTTCCCAGAGCCTAAACATAAGCAAATGAGGGGGTGTCAAAGGTCAATTGGCGGTAGCACCTCCACACACCCCGCCCTTCAGGGCACAGTCCCTAGCTAATCTTTTTTGTCCGTGTCCTTCTACACTGCACATTTAGGTGGGTTCCAGGCTAGGGTCAGAGGTCGTAGTTCGGAGCGTTTTGCAGGCCCGGGGACCCTGTAGCGGTGCAGGTGGTCTCTGCGGAGCTTTGACAGCAAGGTGGATCTCAGGAGTGTTGAGGAACTAGGAAAAGTTAATAGCGGGTGTGGGTCGTCCTCCCTGGGCCATGCAATTTCCCCACCCTTCCCTCACCTTAGCCGACACGCGACTGTCATTGAGCCTTCTGCGCATGTGTAGGAAGAGGTTCTGGGCCCAGAGGATAGGCTTCAGCAAGCAATAAGACGCATGCGCAAAGCCTGGGTCTTGGGGAAAAAAATTTTAAAGCGCCTTTAGCTCGACTGCGCATGCTTCGCCGCTAATCTTTGTTTAGGTGATGCGCACGCGCCCAAGAAGCTCGCCCGGTCCGCGACTTCAAAGGGCAAGTCCGGAGGCTGAGGCGGGGTCGCGCCCTCGAGCGCGCGCCCGGCCAACGGCGACCCGCCCAACGTCTGTCGAGGCCACGCCCATTCGCTAGTCAAGCTCGGATAGGTGGGAAAGAAAGGGGCGGGACTTAGGCGCGGCCAATCGCCTGTAGAGAACGGAAAAGGCGGGAAAAAGAGGACCCAAAAGGAAGCTGGAGGTGGCGACCCGGAGCAGGAGAGCAGGGCAGGCCAACGGAAGACTCCACCTCCCAGAGGCGACCGCTGGCGCTGGCCCTCGGAGAATAGGCGGTCCTCCTCAGGCAGCGTCCCCCTGGGGTCCCCGCACTTCCTCCCGACGCCCCTGGAGGGGAGGCCCCTGTTGGGAGAAGGTTGCCCCCGCGTCTCTCATGTCGAGCGGCGGCTGGTTTCCAAGACTTCACAGACCAGACCTCAGTATGAGACACTGGGTCTTCCTGAGACCGAGCTAAAGCCTACGCCGGGCTCGCGGTGTGGGAAGTGACCCAAGTCAGGGAACAACTCAGATAATAGGCCTGCACTCCCCGTGGCCTTCTGTGCCAAGGGAGCTACACTCCCTCAGGACTCCCGTCAGCAGCCCTCCTCACTAGTGTCCCCTGTCCTGGGGTCCCTAACCACTCGGGGGACCCAGCGGGCCTGCCACCCCTCTTCACCCTCATCCTGTATTCCCAATACCCGGGGCCCTCAGAACCCTCTGGCTCCTCCTCAGCTCCTGAGGCCTTCAGTAGTCCTTCACGTTACACTTGCCACTTCTAGGACCTGAAGCAGCCTTTGAAGCTGTGTTACCGTTCCCAGAACCTGCCCATACCCTACCATCCCTTATCCCCAGCACCCGGGACCTCCCAGCAGTTTCTCACCCCGGATTCCTGACTACTGAAAACTGAAGCAGCCCCTTCACCCTATTCCCCTCTGTTCCTAGGGCTCCGAACGTCCCTCGGTCCATCCATCCCCACCTTGGGAATCCTCAGTAGTACCCTTATCCTGTGCTCCAGTTCAGGGGACCTTCAGCCTCGTACTGGCTCCCACCTCTGGACACCCAGCCCTCCCTTCACACCAGAGGCTGACTCCTGAAAGCCCTGCCAGCCTCCAGCCCACCTGGGCCGGCGCTCCCCGCTCCCCGCACCCCGACTCTGACATTCCCATTTGTGTTGTCTTGTAGCTGCTGAGCTCTGGGGTGGGCGTGAAGCACACAGGCAGTGGTGCCCAGAAAGCACCCAACACCCGTGCCCTGCCTCCCAGGACACCCAAAGAAGAGCAGCCACCATGCATCTTCCCGAAAGCCTGCAGGACCTGGCAGACAGTGAGACAGTGCGCTTTCTGAGGAGACCAAAGAGCATCTCCAGGATCTGCGGAGGGGTGAGACCCTGGGGGTCAGGACACGGGAGGCAAAGGCTGAAGCCACCTTTTACTGGGGATCTGGTCATGCCTTAGCCATGTTCAACACCAGTTAACTCATCACAAGAAAGAGCCCAACGATTGGGGCATGATTTACAAATCCCATGAGAGACTGTGGGAGGACTGTCATGAGTTTGAGGCCAGCTTTGGTTACAGTATAAGAAAAAGAAAAAAGTGAAAAAGAACCCTTCAAAAGAGAAGAAAAATACCCCCCTCAAAAAAAAAAAAAACCCATAATTTTATGAATGGAATCAGAGTGTTTGAAGACTGCTTGTCCAGTGGGGTAGCCATAAGCCACATGAGCTACTCCAATTCCAACTAATTTAATTCAGATGGGCATTCTACATTCAGTGTGGCCATATTTCAGGTGCTTCGCTGCCACATGTACCTTGTAGCTTTCCAACTGGACAGCATATATTCATGACATTTTCATCATGCCAGAAAGTTCCACTAACCAGCATCCATTAAGGTTAACACAGAAAGAGGCAGTACCACTGCATACTATGAGATGCCAGGACCCATTCATTATCCATTTCTTTCATGGGGATTAGGTCTATTTAAAAAAGAAAAAGGTTGCCAGGCGGTGGTGGCACACGCCTTTAATCCCAGCACTCGGGAGGCAGAGCCAGGCGGATCTCTGTGAATTTGAGGCCCGCCTGGGCTACAGAGTGAGTTCCAGGAAAGGCGCAAAGCTACACAGAGAAACCCTGTCTCGAAAAACAAAAACAAACAAACAAAAAATCACTACTATATTCCCAAAGATTCTGGACACTGGGAGCAAAATCCTCATTCAGCCCAGTCATGCTGTGTATAACCTTGACATTGAACCAATCACTGCCTTTCTCTGAACATCAGTCCAAGAGTCATCTATCTATGCCTATGGGTTTAACCTGTACTTCTTCCTTCTCTCTCTCTCTCTCTCTTTTTCTTTCTTTTTTGGTTTTTTGAGACAGGGTTTCTCTGTGTAGTTTTGGAGCCTCTCCTGGATCTCATTCTGTAGACCAGGCTGGCCTCAAACTCACAGAGATCCACCTGCCTCTGCCTCCTGAGTGAGTGCTGGGATTAAAGGTGTGCGCCACCACTGCTGGGCTCCTTCTCTCTTTTTTCTTTTTTGTTTTCCCAGAGCCAAGGACCAAACCCAGGGCCTTGTGCTTGCTAGGCAAGCGCTCTACCTCTGAGCTAAATCCCCACCCCCACCCCATCCCCGCTCCTTTTCTTTTTTCTTTCTTTTTTTTAAAAAAAGATTTATTTATTTATTTATGTATACAGTATTCTGTCTGCATTTTATCTGCAGGGCAGAAGAGGGCACCAGATCTCATTATAGATGGTTGTGAGCCACCATGTGGTTGCTGGGATTGAACTCAGGACCTCTGGAAGAGCAGTCAGTGCTCTTAACCACTGAGCCATCTCTCCAGCCCCCGCCCCTTTTCTTTTTAAAAGATGTTTTAAATTATGTGAATGTATGTGCCTTCGTGAGTTTACACGCACCTCATGCATGCAGGCGCTGGTGAGGCTAGAGGGTGTCAGATCATGTGGAACTGCAGTGAGAGCTGGTTGTGGACCACCTGTTGTGGCTTCTGAGAACTGAACCCTGGGATCCTCTGCAAGCATCTTAGTTACTGTTCCATTGCTGTGAAGAGACACCATAACCAAGGCAACTCATGAAAGAAAGCACTTAATTGGGAGCTTGCTTGGTGTTTCAGAGGGTGAGTCCATGACCATCATGGCAGGAGCATGGCAGCAAGCAGGCATGCAAGCATGGTGCTGGAGCAGTGCTGAGAGCTTACTTCTTATCTGCAAGTTAGAGGCAGAGAGAGAACAAACTGGAATGGCAAGGGCTTTTGAAACCTCATAGTCCACCCCTAGTGACACACCTCCTCCAGCAAGGTCACACCTCCTAATCGTTACCAACAGTTCCACCACCTGGGGACCAAGCATTCAAATATATGAGCCTGGCCAAGGCATGGTGGCACACATCATTAATCCCAGCACTCGGGAGGCAGAGGCAGGAGGAGCTCTGTGAGTTCAAAGCCAGCCTGGTTTACATAGCAAGCTCCAAGACAGCCAGAGCTACATAGAGAGACCCTATCTCAAAACAAACAAACAAAATCAAACATATGAGCCTGTGGGGGCCATTCCCATTCAAATCATCACATACAGTATGCTGTCTTTTTTTTTTTTTCCTTCGGTTTTTCGAGACAGGGTTTCTCTGTGTAGCTTTGTGCCTTTCCTGGGACTCACTTGGTAGCCCAGGCTGGCCTCGAACTCACAGAGATCCGCCTGGCTCTGCCTCCTGAGTGCTGGGATTAAAGGCGTGAGCCACCACCGCCCGGCTGCAGTATGCTCTCTTAACCACTGAACCATCTCTCGAGTTCGTGCCCCCACACATCCTGTTTTATGTTTGGGGTGTCTTTTTGTTTGTTTTTGTTGTTTGAAACAGGGTCTTAATTCTGTATCCTAGCCCAGGCTGGCCTTGAACTCACAATGGACCTCCTGTTTCAGCCTCACTAAGTGCTGGATTATAGGTATAAGCCTATACTTTTCTTTTGTTTTCCCTGGACAGAACTGGTAACTGAAGCCCAGTTATGAGCTCTGATTAGGGTCATGGGAGCAGAAACCAACCCTCTGGCCTGGTTCCTCAGTGAGAGTCTCTGAGAAGCTGGCATTCTTGTCCTTCTCCATGGATTAAACTCCAAAGTCTCCCCCAGGTTCCCAATCCAGAGTACCTTCTCTCTGTCCTCTGGAACAGTCCAAAAAGGCCTGGCTTTGAGTCCTTCCTAACCTATGTGTCCATCAGAGGGACATACCACCCTGTTAGCTGGGCTGCCCCAGGCATAAGCAGCAGCAGCAGCAGCAGCAGCACCTTTCCTTCCCAGAAATGCCCCTTTGGCTCAGTAGCTTACATGGTCAGCCGATCTGTGGCCTAAAGCATCTTCTCTGACCCCTGTCCTCATCTGTAACTAAAGGGTCCTAACACTCTGCTCCTGGGCAGGACACTGTGAAGACGAAACAAGGCGATGCATACATGCTGACTAGTGGGGGGCTGGCAAGTGCTGAGCTCTCCTTAAATAGCAAGCATTGTCACTGGAATAACTCTCAACTGTGAGGGAGGAGAGGGTTGGAGGAACCTGGGATGACAGGGGCTGGTGCACGCTGTCCTTCCTTGTGAGAAGAGAGGAATTATGACTGTCACACACTACTCCCTGGTGCCTTCTCTCCTCACCACAACCTATGACAAGGACCTACTAACGTGTATAATCCAAGGGGAAACTGAGACTCCCAGACAGAGGTTGAGTGATTTGTCAAGGTCATTACCCATCAGATGAAGGAGTCAAACTCAGATCCACTCACTGTCTCCAATGCCTGGAAAGGGGAAGCAAGCATTGAGGGATCTGGGACCCCAGCTGGTATGGCCAAGTGCAAGCAGGGGGAAAGCTGCCAGCCCTATCAGACCTTGTGGTCAGGGACTTTGCCTGTGCTACCATCCTCCCTCCCCTTCCTCTTCCTCCCCTGGTCTGGTTCCTCAGCGGGAGTCTCTGAACATCTGGTATTCATGTCCTCCATGCTTTCTTGCCAGCTGGTGTCTTAACTCATGAATCTTTGCTCCCTTCCTGGAGACAAGCCAGGGAGGGTGCAGAAAGAGGCTGGACATAGGCTTCAAGGAAATGGATCCCCAGCTAGTTGATGCCCCTCCCCATATTTCCAGCGCCCTAGGCTCTACCATGGACAAACAGCCTCTGGGGCCTGGAAGTCAGGGCTGGACTCAAACACCACCCTAGAGCAGCTAACATTAAGGGTCTGCTTCCTCTCCCTAGGTGAGTCCTGAGGACCACCATTGTCCTGAGCACTTACTAGGCCTGAGCCCCACTCCCCTTCTCCACAGCATAAACACACTAGGAAACTGAGGTTTCAAGGCCTGAATGACTTGCTCAAATCCACACAGCTTTGCAGAGTCAGAAGCATGTGGCTCCTACTGTGTTGTAATGTGGTAGATTTATCACCTTGGAAAACAGAAGTGAATGAATAATGTGGTACACAGTTCCAGGGAGGTGGCTGTTCTTTCCCTGCCTCATCCTGCCGTGAGCAGTGTAAGGTACTTCCTCAAGACTAAATCCTTAGCTCCCAGACTAGTGGTTCTCAACCTTCTTAGTGCTGTGACCCTTTAATACAGTTCCTCATGTTGCGATGACCCCAACCATGAAATTATTTCATTGCTACTTCATAACTGTAATTTTGCTACTGTTGTGACTCTTGTAATGTAAATATCTGATACGTAGGAAATGTTGAGAACCACTGTCCCAGACCATCTTACAACCTTCCTTCAAGAACGTGACTATAAAGTGCTTGGCAAGAAGAGAAACTTGTTATTTTGGTTATAAAGCAATAGCCAAAAGAGAGAGAAGGGAAGACAGGACAAAGGCAGGTAATTTAGGGTTGGCCTTTTACCTCATACCCCCACACCAAAGGACATAAGAAGAGTTACTCTCACACACATTATGGAGGCCCTACCTGCACTGGTGCAGACATACACACACCCCTGCAGAGCCTGTCCCTGGGCGTGCAGATCTTATCAAAGTTTTCATGTTTCCCTCTGCACAGCTCCCCATTGCTTACAGTTACATCCCATCAATCACAAATCCAGTTTCTGTTCCTCAGGGCTGTGTTCTTCCTACCAACCTGCTCTGTGAACTTCTCTCTCACCCCTACCCTTTATCTAGATCATTGGCCACATGACCAGAGAACTTCTCCAGTCCCTGGATCTGGTCCTGGCTATCTTAGAACCCTTCCATGCTCAAAGAAATTCTAATGAGGGTCTAGAGAGATGGCTCTTGTTCTTCCAGAGAACCGAAGTTCAACTCTGAGCACCCAAATCCAAAAACCGTCCTTAACTTCGGTTCCAGGGGATCTAATGCCCACTTCTGACCCGAATGCACCAGAGAGAACCCAGTGGTGCACATGCATGCATGCAGGCAAAGCACTCATATACGTAAAATAAATCTCTTAGAATTGAAAAAGAAGTTCAAACGAGAATTTTATCTTTCACACCTCCTCAGGTCTGATGTTGAGGTCTTTGAGGTCTTTGCCTACATAGATATCCTACATATCAGATACTTACATTACAACTGATAACAGTAGCAAAATTACAGTTATGAAATAGCAACAAAAATAATTTTATGGTTTGGGGTCACCACAACATGAGGAGTTTGTATCAAAGGGTCACAGCATTACGAAGCTTGAGAAGCACCGGATTATAAGCATGCACTACCATGCCCTGCAAAACTCCTTTAAGGTCCAGATCTCAACTTATTACTTCCTAAATTCAGCCCCAGTACTTTGGTTTCCACCCAAACTTCAGCTCTTGTCCACTCTGTTCTGCCTTGACTCCCCAGAATGCAGACTTACCCCTCCAGCCCACTCTACATCACCCAAAGACTTTTTCCACACTGAGAGCTGATCCTACCCTGCTCTGCCCTGCCCTGCCCTGCTCACAGCCCTCCAAGCAATGATCCCAGTACTCATTGCTTCTCATCCTTTAACATTCATGAAGAAAGGCCCCTGAACCAACTTCACTTTCTACTCAGTAGACACACATGGGCTCCTTCTAGGCCTAACACAGGGCTTGCCACACTACAGTGTGACGGGGCTTCAGTCTTTCACACATTTGCACTAATAGGAACCTCTGCTCTCAAGGCTGGATCCAGCATGATGCAGACTAAGAAAGATGAAGAGCTATACGACTGGGGTCCACATCGAGGCTCTGCTGCTCACTAGCTGAAAAAATTCATCCGCTTCCTTGTCCTCTGTGCCTCAGATTTTTTTATCAGAAAAGTGCCTCTGTCATGGTGTGGTTACAGCATAACATCACAGAAGGCAGGTGCACAGCTGTGGGGCAGCTACCGAGGCAGGGCTGGGTTGCTTTCTTAAGAATTCTAAAGCAAAAACTAAATGTAGCGTCCCATGCCTATAATCCCAGAACTTGGGAGGCTGAGGCAGGAAGATGGCTATGAGCTCAAGGCCAGCCAGGGCTGCTTGTGAAATCCTGTCTCAAAGAAAAAAGTCCTGAAGTAAAAAGGTTGACATTTTAAGTCTGTAATCAGTACTGCATGTTTGTTATGCCTTTGCACATTTTGATTATTTCACAAGTTTATTTTAACAAATGAATTGGGGAGGAGGTAGCTGGAAGATGGCTTGGCAGCTAAGAGTGCTTGCTACTTGTGCAGAGAACCTGAGTTTGGGTCCCAGCACTTAGCTCACAACCACCTATAACTCCAGCTCCAGGCGATCCAATAACTTCTTCTCGCTTCCACAGGCAAGCAGGCACACACAGCATAGACATGGGCAAACATGCATAATTTAAAATCTTTTAAAAATGAATTGGGCTGAAAAAAAATGGCTCAGCTGTTGTGAGTACTCAGCTGCTCTTTCAGAAGTCCCAGGTTCAATTCTCAACACACACAGGGTGACTTACAAACTATCTGTAGCTCCAGTTCCCCATGAGCACTGCATGCATGTAGTTCACAGACATACAGACAGACAAAATACCCATACACGTTAAATGAATAAATTTAAAAAGTGAAAAATGAACTGGTCAGTTTTTGCACATGTCTTTAATCCCAGCACTCGGGAGTCAGAGGCAGGCCTATCTCTTGAGTTCGAGGCCAGCGAGCTCTAGGACAGCCAGGGCTACACAGAGAAACCCTGTCTCAAAACACCAAATAATAATAATGATGATTATAATGATAATAACAATAATAATAAATTAATTGGGGCTGAACACAGAGCTCAGTGATAGAATGTTTGACTAGCATGACAAGGCCCTGGTGTCAGCCCTCAGCACTGGGTGGATGGGAGAGGAGGGAGACACAGAAAGGCTAGGAGAGGAGGGCACTTATTAGGTCTTGTGCCCTGAACAAGGGTGGTGTCAGGAGAGGATGGGACAGACAAGGATGGGTGACAGAGATGATGTTAGCTAAGGCAAGAGTGTGTCGGAGGAGGCCAAGGTGGTGCGCTAGGACTGCTGGGGCACTAGGAAGCCTTGAGGGACTGTGGGCGGGAGAGCAGAGGGAGACTGCTGGCATGAGGAGGGAAAGGTGAGGCCAGAGCCTGGATGGAGGAAAGAAGATGAAGGGCAGAGACAGGGCTCCGAGGCTGTATCGGGAATGGCAGTTGCAGAATGCCCAGTACCCAGGGTGTCCACCCAAGGGGAAGGCCTCTTGGAGGAAGCACTGGGTTCCACCCTGTCCTTTGTGGTTCACAGGTCTTTTCCCTGGTCATCTTTTCCTCCCTACTAACTGATGGTTACCAGAACAGGACAGAGAATCCTCAGCTCCGCTGCGTGCTCAACAGCAATCACGTGGCTTGCAGCTTCGCAGTAGAAGCTGGCTTTCTGTCCTTCCTCAGCTGCTTGGTCTTCCTTGCCTTAGATGCCCGTGAGAGCCGCATCACAGGCAGCCGCTTTAAGACAGCCTTCCAGCTCTTGGACTTCATCCTGGCTGGTGAGTCCCATGCGACCATGCAGAGCTAGCCCTCCCAGGCTCCCTAGTGCCTACGGTCACAGCCCTGGGCCCACCCCACCAAACCTGTGCCTGCTGGTCCTCCCACTGGGAGAGTCTGACTCCGTGGTCCCCCAGAAGCATGGCCTAGTCCGTCTTCCTCCCTGTCCTCCCACTGCCTCCAGCCCAACCTGCTTTTCCCTCACATTCCACACCCTGGCCCACTAAACACAGCCTGAAGAGCCCACCCCGTGGCAGGAATTTGATTCAGAGCACTGAGCCACATGGATCCTCACTGAAAGCTAGGATGAAGACTGCCTTGCAGGGGTTTCTGGGTGTGAAATGAATTAAGGGGGGCCTACAGTCGTGGATACCTGCTGAGCACTTTCCAGTGTTAGGCACACCATCAAGGGATGAGTCCTGTCTCCTCCAGTTCTAAGAGCAGCCCTGGGGGTGAGTCCTGCTCATCTTCTCATTTTCCAAGAGAAACCAAGGCTGAGGTAGTCATGTGACTGACCCACGGCTGCCCAGTGAAGGCAAGCCCTATGTTTCAAAGCACGGCACAGCCTCCGTAATCATACCACAGTATCTGTAGGGCTCGGCACACAGAAAGCACTCAGCCCATGCTTTCTTTATACCCAGGCCCTCAGACCTTCCTCACACTACCTCTCTTCCCCTCCCCAGGAACCAATCCCAGCACCTCAGGGCCAGAGACTGCTCCTGTCAGAGAACCTCTGCAGTGAGAAGGTGCTGTCCTCTAGGAAGGACCCCTTCACTCATAGCCCCTGCACACATGAGATGTGGCTGGCCAAGGGAAATGATGAAGTTGAAGTAACCACATGTAGCTCCAGCTCTGTGTTAGAAGCTGACTTTGGGGGACACTTGAGGGACTTGGATGAGCACCCCTTGCCTGTGCCCCAGCATGTTTCCCCTCTCTTCTTCCCTTGCCCCTCCAGTCCTCTGGGCAGGTGTCTGGTTTGTGGCCTTCTGCTTCCTGGCCAGCCAGTGGCAGCACTCGAAGTCCAAGCATTTCCTCTTGGGGAACAGCAGCGCCAAGGCGGCCATTGCCTTTGCTTTCTTCTCTGTCCCTGTCTGGGTGAGAACAAGCCCTGGCACCCCTCTGGGGTGGGGTGGGAGGACTGTACATTTGGTGACCAGGACCAGGACTCTACCTGGGTCTCTGCTGTCATCCTCCAAGTCTACCTTCCTCTGGCATCCCCAGTCCTGGGCACTGTTGGGCAATGAGCAGATCCCCCAGGCCAGTCCCTGGGTTTCCCTGTTCCATCCCAGCTGACTTAAATCCTGCCCTTTCCTGCCCACAGATATTCCAGGCCTACCTGGCCTTCCAAGACCTCCGAGATGAGGCTCCAGTCCCCTACAAGCGCTCCCTGGATGAGGGTGGTGTGGTGCTGAACACCCTCTCCCCATCATCTACCATTAGCCCTGTCAACCCTCCCACCACAGGCCCCAACAGTGTGAGTTACACCAGCTCAGCCCTGTCCCCCTACCTGACTACCCCAAAGGGCCCCCGCCTGGCTATGATGCCAGACAGCTGAACAGCCTTACCCACATCAGTAAAGAGCTCTTCTCCCTCTGAGGGATTTCTGAATAACCCTGTCCTCTGTTCCTCTCATCCCTTGAATGGCAGGGGGAGGAGGGAGACCCCCTGAAAAAGGCTACATTTCTCTGCTACTCCCAAGTGCCAATCACCTTGCTGACAGCAGGTTGGAAGTGTTGACAGGCAGGAAGCCCTGCCATGTCACTTGTACCCTAGCCTTGAAGAGGAGGCACAAGGGCCTCATACTACAGCTAAGGCTGAGGCTGAGAGAGAAAAGACCTTCCCTTCAGAGCGCCAGTGAGAAACAGTGCAGCATTGATCCAGCAGCCCAGGCTCTTTAACCCACAGTGATAAGGTACTCAAACAGAGCGATGTGTGCATGGAGTCAGTCAGGGCACTGAGTCTATGATGAGGCTTAGATCTGTGTCTTCAAATGCATTAAGTCTAGCTTGGGAAAGAGGCAAGTGTCTCTGCTGTACACCTCCAGGGTCACCAGGCTACAGACCTGTTAGGAGGGATCAGGCAGGTGGCACCTTGTGCCAGAGTGACAACCTTTACCCAGCCATGGGGCTGAGGGTGTAGAGACTTGCTCAAGACTATATTGAGAAAAGAAAAAAAGTCAATTTTAATATATTTCATTTAACTTAATATATCCAATGTGTTGCTGTTTCAACGTATAGTCGATGTGAAAATTCAGCTTTTTAAAAAATTTTTCTTTGTACAAATAGTTTCATTGTGAGGCTCAGGCTGGCCTGGAACTTACTATTCCCCAGCCTCGATACTGGGATTATAGGCAGGTGCCACCATTCCCAGCACTGAAAGTCAACATTGCCCATTTTACATCCATTCTTACTGTGCACCTTTCCTCACAACACGGCTCCCTCTGGGTCTGCCATGGTGTGTGCTGGGTAGACAAGTGTCACTGACAGGCAGCCCACTGGCAGTGCCACTCTTGACCCTTGGGGTAGTTTCTCTAGAACAACTAAACATCTTTTCTGTTGTTATTTTGACTTTTGTTTTGTTTTTGTATGTGAAATTAGTGGATAACAGACTTTTTTTTTAAGTAAGGAGCTAGAGCTGGTAGAGTACTTGCTCAGTAAGCACAAATCCCTGGTTTGTTTAATCTCTAGCATCGCATAAACCAGATATGATGGTGCCCATCTATAATCCCATCTCTCAGGACGGGGAGGCAGGAGGATCAGAAGTTCAAGGTCAACCTCAATACTTAGGGATTTGAAGCTAGCCTAGGATACATCTCTCTCTCTCTCTCTCTCTCTCTCTCTCTCTCTCTCTCTCTCTCTCTCACACACACACACACACACACACACACACACACACACACACACACACACAAATCTATACAAGGGCTGCCATGACCTACAGAGCATTCATTTACAAACTGAACCAAGATACAAATTATGAGGTCAAATTTAGACTCCAGTATGTCCTTTGGGGGACGTCCTGTGTGTCAGGCACAGAAACCACACAGCCCGGTTCCTATGGAGAGGCAGAGAACAGCAGTGACGGGAAGCACTCTGGCCTGGAAACAGCCTTCTCTGCTGCCATGAGCTGGAAGGTCTTCCATGTGTCATGTAACCTATCTGTTGGATGGATTGGTACTCAACCCATGTACAACGAGCCATCTCAGGAAGAAGCAGTCAGACCTGCCCACACCCTGCACTTGTATTCTGTCGGGCTTCTGGGCCAGACTCTTCTAAACAGAGGCCCACTAAAACACCACCACAGAACATGAGGGCTATGCAGCTGGAGTGAGGGACAAGCCAGACTTTGTCACTCATCCTCCTGGGCCTCCGTTTTCTCAGTTATGAAGTGTTTCTTCCTTAGGGAGATGAGGGCCAAGTGAGAGCATCCATGTGATATCAGGACATAGCAAGTCCTCTGGAAAAGTTAGCCCAGTCCCCGAAGCTCGTCCAAAGACTGGAATTGGACACAACTAAGAACTGGGAAGTTCTCAAAGGACAAATAGGAAGTTTGACTGAACCAAGGATCAAAATCCAGATGCTGGCTGGGGGCAGAGCCCAGTGAAGGACCACTTGCCTGGGATGCACACAAGGCCCTAATTTGAGCCGCAGCACTGCAACGGACAAACAGGAAATGATCTTGCCACTGACAAGAGCCAGGCAAAACACAGAAGTCGGAAATGGCCAGGTGTGGAGCCCATCTCAAAAGAGGCCAGAAAGTATTTGCTTTTTTTTTTTTTTTTTTGAGATAGGATTTCTCTGTGTAACAGCCTTGACTTTTCTGGAACTCACTTTGTGGACCAGGCTGGCCTTGAACTCTCAGAGATCCATCTGTGTACTGGGATTAAAGGCATGCACCATCACACCCTGCTTTCATTTGCCTTTTAACTCTATAAACAAACACATATACAATATTAGCCCAATAATAAATGTTAACAGCCCATAGCCAAGTCCTAGCTAAGTGGAAAAATGTAGGTATCCCATCTTTTCAGCATCAGGCATCTGCTGCCATCTAGAATGAGGACCACCACTGTTGAATTGACCAACTTCTTTTAAAGAGGCCAGAAATTCAGACTGTAATATAAAGATCTGGTTTTTAAAAGCTGGCAACCTTTTTTTCTTTCTTTCGTTTTTATAAAACAGTATCAAAATGCCAGAGCTGGGGGATGGCTGGAAAGGGGGCCTAGCAGTTAAGAGCACTGGCTGCTCTTACAGAGGACCTGATTTCAATTTCTAGCACCCACATGGCAGCTCACAACTGTTTTAACTTCAGTTCCAGGGGATTTGACACCCTTTTCTGGCCTCTTTGGATACCAGGCACACACACAAATAGTACATGCAGGCAACACTCACACACTTAAAATAAAAAAAAAAAAAAATTAATGCCAATGGAGGGAAGGATGAGGGCCGTCCCATCATCAATGGTGCAAGACATGCATGCTCTTCAAGGTCTGGAGAGTCATCAGGCAGTCTCTATATCAGACGAAGAATCAGACTCTCCCAACCTCTTCCCTGTAGAACCTCAAGGCATCATGGTGCACTGGAGAGTCCTGGGGTACCCATTTCTCATCTTCCTACTCCTTCAAGATATCTGACCATCCCTAGAAAGGCTTATGCAAAAGCAGAACAAGCCAGGGCCCAGCACAAACCAAAGAGGGCAGGGAACAGTTTTCCTTGGTTTATTTCAAGAGAACAAAGAATCAGCCATCAAATTCTGTACAAAAACATGGTGTTAGAGTGTGGTGACCCCCAGGCCAGCTAGCCCCCTTCCCTCGAATAAGTCCAAAGCATCCCCTAATTTGACAAAAACAGGACAACCCCCCTACCCCCCCCAACAGAAAAAGCTAACAAATTCTGGGGAAAAAATATGAAAAATTAGGAAGACCCTCCTTAACTTTCTTCCTTCTTACCACCAGTCCAGGAACTTGTGGGGAGGATCGTGGCCACAGCCAAGGTAGGCAGGCAGGCATTGGCAGACGTAGTGTTTGGCAACCATGGGGCTGGGGTGGGATCTTGGAGGGAGAAAAGTGGCTTAGACAAGGGAGTAGACCTCGGCTGGCCCTGGTGCAGAGAACACTCAAAACACAGTTTATAAAAAATCAGGGCCAGGGTAGAAGAGAAAAAAGTCATCAGAATCAAAAACTAAATAGTGGAAAGATTTGTTTTTTTGTTTTTCTTCTCTAAAAGGCAAAAGGCTACAAACAGCTCTCAGGTCCTGAGCTCCCCAGGATAGGGGGTCTTCCACTGACCCCCAAAACCCAGCTGGAGGGGTGGGGAGCCGGGAGAGGTGAGCTCTTTAAAAAGTCAACTCTGGATGGGAAGGCTCTTGGTCTTCAGCGGCCTTCCTCTGCTGCCTCCTGCCCTGCCTCGGAAGGCTGGTGAGGCCAGGGCTATGCCGGTAAGCTCAGCTTCTTCCCCTTTAGGACTGTGGAGAAAGAGACAAGGTGGGCCTTACCTTCTATCCCACAGAGGGGCAACCTCCCACCCTGAGCAAGGTCTGCTAGTGAGTTGTGCAAGGAGAGGGAAACCCCCAGGACTGCATCCTGAACCACTAGGTTGAGTCTAGATCAACCAGGGGGTAGAACCGGAATTATGACCTTGTCACAAGGGCTGAGCAGAGGGGGCCACAAGCAGGCTCTGTTTTCAGTGGTGCTGACGATAACATGATCACTACAGGAAGGGTCAGATGGCCTAGCAGGGTCGACCAGGCATGACTACCCCTCCAACCTTCTAAGCCTTAATTCTAGGGCCTGGAACAACCTGACCTCTTGGCTCTTGTCTTGATTGCCCCAGACTCTGTGCTTTTGTGATGCCTAGGCTAGCCACAAACTGGACACAATCCTGCCTTAGCCTCCACAGTGCCGGGATTACAGGCCTGGTCTTATTGCCTCTTTCCTTCACATACTGATTTCTGGTCTTCAGGTTTCTGCTTAAACATCACCTCAAGATGCCCATGGGCCCTGGGTCAAGGCAGGTTCCACCCTTCTAACTTATCACCCAAGAACACACCTGCCTTCATCCATTGAGTGTTCCTGTCATCACTCTATTCTTGCTTATGTGCCGTCTTCCTCAGTGGAATCTAAGGGAGCAGAGGGCCCCGGCTACCTTTTCTGCTATGGCTGAGCCCTGGACACAGCCGGTACTCAGTAAGTTTGTACAGGGAGAATGAATTCCATCGTCAAGAGTCCCTGCTTTGCCTGATCTGCACTTGTAGAAATAGAGCCTGAGGGTCAAAAGCCGAGCCCTGGGGATGTAGGATCGGGATCTAAATAGGGGATGGTAGGCCTGGAACCCCGGAAGCCAGGAAACGAGCCCCATCCCTCAAGTGATATTTGGCTAAAGATAGACCCTGGGCCCAGGGAATACAGGACTAGAGAGAACAGCCCTTTCAGCCAGCCCTGCATCCTGGTTACCTTTGGTGATATAGAGGTAGAAGAAATCACAGTAGAGGACTGTCTGGACCAGGCCAGCAACGATGGCGATGAGGTCAAAGAAGCCCTCGAAGTGGTAGCGCCAGATCCAGTTGAAGAGATAGAGTGTACGGTAGACACCCAGTGCAAACAGGTAGTGGCTGGTGATGGTCTCTGCCTCACCCGTCTTGCTCACCATGAACAACTGTGGCAAGATGGCCACTGACTCCAGGTAGATGGAGAAAGTCCAGAGGATCTGCAGAGGACAAGGGTAAGGGACAGGATGAGGCAGCTGGGTCAGCAGTATCACAGAATGAGTACTATAAACTATCCCTAGCACTCAAAATGTAGCCCATACTGTTGAACCACATCACCAGCCCATCACTCTACTCTCATCACAGCCTCTAACATCCCTTATACAGAGAGAAAACTAAAGCCTGAGATAAGATCCTTGCCCATGACCACAGAGCTCCTGAGCAGCAGAGCTGGGGACTTGACTGGAGCTCAAGCTCATGAGCGCTTTTCATCCCCTGAGAGCAAAAGGCATCAACTCCAAACCCACCCCTGACCCCCATCTCTACAGTGGAGACCCATCCTGCTCTCATAAGGATACCATTAAATATGGGACCTTCAAGACCTAAGTCTACATTACTCTCTGGCTCAAAATCCTTCAATAGCGTGTTACTGCTCAGAAGAAAATCTAGACTCCCGACCTTGGCCCTCAAGGTCCTCCCTCTGGGCAGCACAAACTGTTTCCCCCTGCCTCAGGGCCTTTGTACTTGCTCCCCCGCCCCCCAACCTCAGCAGCTAGTCACTTCCTGAAAAAGGTCTACCTTGGCCACTCTTCCTCCAAGACTTACAGTATTTGCCTTTTGGGATTTTTTTTTTTTATTTGTTTTACTTAAAATTTAAAAAAAAATTATGGCAGGCAGTGGTGGCACACACCTTTAATCCCAGCACTCGAAGGCAGAACAAGGCGGATCTCTGTTGAGTTCGAGGCCAACCTGGTCTACAGAGTGAGATCCAGGACAAGCACCAAAACTACACAGAGAAACCCTGTCACAAAAAACAAAACAACAACAAAAAGATTATGGGGCTGGAACAATGGCTCAGCAGTAAGAGTACTGGCTGCATATCCAGAGGACCTGGGTTTGATTCCCAGCACCCACATGGCAGCTCACAACTGTAACTCCAGTCTCAGGAGATCTAACACCCAATTCTTGTCTCTAGGCACCAGGCATATATTTGGTGCACAGACATACAAACAGGCAAAAAAAAAAAAAAAAAAAAAAAAGTTTAACTTACGTGGATATTTAGCCTGCATATATATCTGTGCACCACATGGTGCCTGCAGAGACCAGAAGAGAAAGAGCATCAAATCCTCTGGAACTGGAGTTAGCAGGGGACTTCAAGCCACCATGTGGATGCTGGGAATCAAATTCTGCACTGGAAGATCAGGAAGTGCTCATAACGTCTGAGCCATCTCTCCAGCCCTATTTATTTTATGTGTATGTATATGCGCCAGAGTATAAGTATATGCATAACATGTTCAGGAGCCCTTGAAGGTCAGAAGACGGCATCAGATTCACTGGAACTGGACTTTCAGGCAGTTGTGAGCCACTACATGGGCGCTGGGAGCTGAAACCAAGTTTTCTGCAAAAATTATCAAGTGATCTACCACTGGACCACCTCTCCTGTCCAACAGTTCTGTGCTGTTTGAGACAGTGTATTATTACTAGATAGCCCTGGGTGGCCTAGAAATCACAGAGAGCCTCCAGCTTCTCCAGTGTTGGGATTAAAGGCATGCACCACCAAACTTGGCCTCTTTGTTTATTTTTTGAGAAAATCTTGTTCTAAACCCTAAGTTGGCCAGGAACCCACTACACAGCCCAGCTGGCACTGTCCTCATGAACCTCCTGTTGGGATTACATGCTAGTTAGTGTCACTGCACGTGGCATGTCATCCTGTCATATCTCCTCTGTATTCTGTGAAGCCCAGAATCCTGTGTCTTGTTCACCCCAGGGTCCCCAGCATTAGCACAGCTCCTGACGAGGGAGGCAATAAGTCAACCAGGGTGAGCAGCTACATGTGTACAACACAGCCACCCTTAAGGGAACATGGACAGCCTCTTTTATGACCAGTCCCCGTGAAGTCACAGCTCTCTGAAAGTCCCACCTGGGGGTGTACATGATCAGCTACATACCTGAAACCTCCCCTCAGAGAACAAAGCCAGGTGGCAGCTGTGGCTTCTCCACAGTTGTTTTGGTTTGCAAGAAGGAAGTGAGAAACACCAGGACACGATGGTAACAACCCAGAAACCTCTCTTACACCATGGGGCACTAACTGGCTTCAGCCTTAATGTTTCAAGGTGGATCCTGCTATTATCCTCATTATACATATGAGCAAAATGAGGACCCAACGACTAAGAACCCCGCTCCCAGGAAGGTGCCTACTCCCTTGACTAACCAGAATCCTTCAGGCAGCCATTCGAGAAATAGACCCATTTGGCTGATGAGCACTCAGCTCTCATCCCTGGGGTGGCCCCAGGGGAGCTGAAGCACAGCCCCCCAAAATAGGCCTGTTGCCGTTTACCTGTTTGCTCTTGGACAGCTGAATTATTATTTTTTTAGATTTATTTTCTGTGTATTAGTGGTTTTGCTATTTTGTGTGTGTGAGAGAGAGAGAAGGAGAGGAGGGAGAAGGGGAGAGAAGGAGAGAGACCCATGTAGGCCAGGCTGGCTGTCCTCGAACCAAGATCCACCTGCCTCAGCTTTCTGAGTGCTGGGATTAAAGGCATGAACCACCACGCTCAGCTAAAGTTTTTAAAATTTATGTGTATGAGTGTTTTGCTGCAAGTAAGTATGTGCACTATGTCCACTCCTGGTTCCCACAGAGGTCAGAAAAGGGTGTGGGTCCCCCTGGAACTGAGTTAGATGAGTGAGATCCAACGTGTGTGTGTGTATGTTGGAAACTGACTACATTCTTTTGATAATGCTCTTAATCACTAGCCATCTCTCTCCAGCCCCCTGAAATTTTTTTAAGATTAGTTTTTATTTTTATTTATGTGTATGACTGTATGTCTATATAAGTGAATGCTACATATACATTGGGTGCCTGTGGAGGCCAGAAA